CAACCAAATGTTCATAAATAGCCCAGCCGAGTAGCCATCTTGTGCTAAAGCATACTAATGAATGCTCCTTTTCGGACCTATTACTAATAGTGATAGACTATTTTAGATGCAACAGTCTTTGTTACCTTCATAATCAGACTCAAATATGTTTTGCAAATTCCCTGGGCCAGTGAATCGCCGCTGTGCTGCACTGCCATCATACAGCAGTTTGATATCAGGACAGCGTCCTCATGGAAGCGTAGCATCTACCCTCCGGTTCCATCCAACTCAACAATGTTAGCTCCGTCAGCAATGTTTCCATTGTTAGCACTGTTTCTTGAGTTAGCACCGTTAGCTGCCATCTTAGCCACCTCCATGTTGAGAACTGTGTGCAGACAACCCCGCCCCAGGCTCTGAGTCATCGATCTGAATGTCGTTAACAGCTCCTTTAAGTAATAACTGGGTATTCATGTCATTAACTATCAACAAGTCCCCTTAGGATCTAAAAATGTCCTGGAGAGGAACTAACATTGAAATTCTTACCTTCTAGAAAAATAGCTTTGTTATTGGTGCTAATTATAACTAAGTGAAAGTGGAGGTAGTATTCAATTGGTACACTTCCAGATTTTTCCAATCAGAAGAACTACCAGCTGCCTGAACAGCGCCAACCAGTGGAAGTACATGATATCAGGACATCTTAGCATTCCTAAAAATAGAGATGTACTGATAGCACTTTTTCCTTCCCAATACCGATTCCGATCCGATACCAGCGCGTAAAATAAAAATGGATGGGATATGAATTGTTGTATGTCTCAACTCCTACAACTCTATGTAAAATATTAAGAATTGAATACATAATAGTAGAATGAATGCCATAAAACTTTTTTTAATTATTATTATTGTTATCCAGTGTTGACACAGATCAAGACACAGGTTAAAGTGCAGCCACACAATTTGGTAAAAAAAAAAAAAGACATTGTAAAGGCTACAGTAGAACGCTTTTTAAACTCTGCTCCATATCCGTTTCATTTGCCTGTAGCGTGCATATGCGTAATGACGTGAGGCATTACATGGTATGGGATTGGTCATAGGCTGTACTTGCCGATACCCGATACCACATTTTAGGCAGTATTGGAGGCATTTCCGATACTGGTATCGGTATCGGTACAACTCTACCTAAAAACACTAAGTATGTGTAAACAAGATGGTAGATATAGTACATTCAATAGTAGACTAACCCTAAGTTGTACTATTATGTTGACAGAATTTCACTCTTACACTAACATGCTCACAATAGACTGCAGCAGGAGTAAGTTGTAAAACCCAGAAATGAGGTAGCATTTAAGCACTCCTGGTTCAAGAGAGCTTAAATGCTTAAATGCTCAGTGTGTCTTTTGAGAGGGCTTTTGGTCAGATGCCTGAAATAAGGTCTGTGGTTAACACAAGCTCAGCAGAATATCCTGTTTTGTTCCACCACATAAAATCAGCCAACACCACACTCATTCATTTTGAAGCTTTTATGTGTCCTTAACCATGATTGTCTGTAAAAAATAAATGTCATGGCAATCAATCTGGCAATTATTTGTCGCTTCTTTTATAAGAACTAAAGATAAATACATGAACATTCTCTCTCTGTTTTCACTGTAATTAGTACCAAGTTCCATATTTCTCACAGAAACCTCCTTATCTTCTGTGCTCAATACTTACTGCATACTTCTTACATCCATCTATACTTTCACCTCATTACCAAACAGAGCATGTCAGCTGCATTTGTTTCGGTTATCACATGAATATGAGAGTGAAGAGTTCACCCCTTTTTTTCCCCTCTTACCTGTAGTGCAATTCATCAATCTGGATTGTTTTTGTGTGAGTTGCAGAGTGGTGGAGACACCAACAGCACTAAAACATGGAAATTACTACGAGAGCAATGTCACTTACCTCTCCCATGGAGTACAGCAGATGGGGAGAGATAAGGCGGGAGACACACCTTTACAGGCGGGGTACCCCCAAAGGTGATCTTAGGGGTACAGAAACTGAGTATCAGTCGTTCCACATATTGACTATGGAGGCCTAAGCATGTCAGGTAATAACAACTGAAAAAAAAAGATAGAAGAAGAAGAGAGATCAGTACCAGTAAAGTATTTTTTTTCCGATGAGCCTGGTCTCACTCCGGAGTCGTCGAAATCCGGCACTTGGGCAGTGACTTGTGGGGTCAGAAACCAACAACCGTTATAGTTTAATGGTGCCCAGCGGTGTCAGGGGAAACGCAAGGACAAAAGTTAAGGCAGTGAAAGTCCAACCGAGGTGGGAGGGTTGGTGGATGGTTCCAACAAACATCGACCTTCACCCGAGAGAGCAGTGCTCACACCCCGTAAGATGCTAAAGCTAAACCCTGTTCTTTTTTCCTAAACCTAACAATGTGTTTGTTGTTAAGGCGAGACACTGCAGGTGAATAGGGTAAAATTTTGAAATAATAGCTATCATCATGAAACTTCCCCAGTTGATTACTTACTATGTAAAAAAATGTATTACAAGTTTTTAAATTTTTAATGTTTAATTATGCAAATTCTGCATTGTCTCATTAACTATGCGCTAATTTGCATAGATTTGAGGAAGATAAATCTGAACATCTGATAAAGCCAGGTGCCTCAAAGCCTCAACGAGGAGATGGACATTCAACCTTTTTTGTAATTTATTTGTGATATTCTCTGGTGTAAGTGCTCTGTGGTATTGCTCCATTGTGTCATACTTTATCTGACATGTTACTCTGTAGGTGGAGCTTTCGATAACGAGTGGATTTACAAGGTGTGTGTTTGCTTACTGTTTTACATAGAGGGGCCCCTCTGTTAAGGTTATCTTTTCTTCCTGTCCTTTATGATGGCCTTACAGCCTGATTTCTGGTACAGAGGCCTTGCTCTGGTGTGTCCCTTTAAGAGAGTTTTCTCAAAATACTTTTTCATGGGTATCGTTGTATTTCGTGTATGTATATATTTACACTGATGCTCTTTGTAGCTGATGTATGTGATTGGGATGTGATGTATCTCTTACTGTACAGCACTCCGTGTCCGGACACTGTTGCTGCGTATGTGGGTCTACTGATGTGTGGATGTTCTATTGTGCATTCACAGACAGGGGTTGTGTGTATCTGTTTTTGCGCACTGGCACATAGACATATCTTTTATTTATCTATTTTTTGCATTGTGGTTTTTCTAGGATTTATTTGCACTATGTTGTATATTTCTGACAGGAGTATATTGTTTTTTCCTCCTTTTTTTCTTGTCCATTATCTCATTAAATATGCGCTAATTTGCATAGATTTTAGGAAGATAAATCTGAACATCTGATAAAGCCAGGTGCAAAATTCTGCCCTCATTTTGTTTACATATAAGATGAAAAAAAATTACAGAAGGATTTATGGATATCTGCTTTTATTACCTAGAAAATCAAAATATACTGTCCATAGCCTTAAAAAAATTGATTTTCGCCATATTTCTGGGAATAAAATGTTTTTTGTTAAAGGTATTATTTATTGTAAAACTTCAAATGTGATATGCATGTTAAAATGTCCTTGTGGCCTTGCGTACATAGGAAAAACCTCGAGACCTCTCAAAAACAGAATTTCCGAACACAGATGTGCTATCAGGAACCATGATCAAAGGAGCCCTGTGGCCACTCATTTTAACCTTTTGAACCACACTGTGGCCTCCCTTAGCTACATCGGGATCGAACATGTTCAACTACCAAGGAGAGGTGGTGACCTTGACAATTTACTCTTGAAACGTGAACTATTTTGGATTTATACCTTAGATACTATGTCGACTGAGCATTGGAGCCCTGCAGTGTGCTAACTGTTTTAATCTTCTTTTGTATGCGCTGTTTTCGACTCAGCACCTGCCCGTTTTTTGGTTTGGATGTGCGTGTGGACTTCTTTGTATGGGAATAAAATGTGATTTATTAACAAATCCCTCTGTAAATATCTTCAGAATATAGCTAGGTGTATAACTGGAAGGTTTGGTGTACATAGGTGCTACAGAGGCTGAGATGTTTGACTTGGAGTAGGACAAAAAAACTCATTTTGAGAAAACTGCATTCAAAGATTTACATAACATAATAACAAAATACAAGTAGACAAAATGTAACAAAATAAACGTCTAAATGTATAATTTGAATGTTTTCTTTATAGCAGTTTGAAAGAATACATATTCAAGGAGTAAACTAGCCCAAAATCTCAAAACTGACTCTTCACTGCTTGAAAAATTGATGTTTTTGTCTCACCTTAAAGAATAAAAAACATCATTTTGCAGTGTTGTACCGACGTAGTGTGCTTATTTTGTATGCAAACAATGAATTTCCAGTGAGAACAGAAGTGTATTTTGAAAGAAAACGATACATGTAACAGGCCGAACTTGACATGGTCTCCCAGAACGTCAACAACCAACACACCCAGGGTACCTTGCACATCATATGTGGACGTGGAAAGTCCATGACCAAAGGCCAATATGTGATGAGGTAGGAGTGAGAATGTGTTGTTCTGATTGTAATTTAGGGAATATAGGTGTTTTTATCCCCCGCCAGCTTCACATGTACCTTCACAAACCAAAAAATTCAAATGGAGGATGCTTTAAATAACTTTGGTTCCTTCTTAAAATATTTAAATCTCTATATCAAACAAAAAACCCCACAAAGACCTTTGATCTTGTTTGATTTAGATATTTGAAAGAATTTAACTAGAACAGGAAAAAGAACCACTGTTGCAAGGGTCATTTTGAAATGACAGTCAGTCATTTATGTGTCAACACCCTGTGTGTTTGGGTGTCACTAAGAGCAGAGTGCAGAGATTAGGCACAGAGGGCAGGCCTTCATCTCATTTTTTCCTCCTCCCTCCCTCCCTCTCTGTCTATCTCTCTCTCTCTCTCTCTCTCTCTCTCTCTCTCTCTCTCTCTCTACAACCACCTACACAGAGAGCAGACCACCCCCACACACAGAAAGAGGAAAGGGAGGGTGGGAGGAGATAGAGAAGAACCAAGGCAACCAGCACATGAACAAGTAACTTAACAGTCTACACATCCAGAGGGCAGAGGAAGGATCCCACACTCACAGATATTCTCACGCAAGACTGTCTAACGAGGAATTGGTGGCTGCTCCTGACAGGCTGTCATCTCAAGGAAAAGTAAACTTCAACTACAGAGGAGGATCTGTGCAGCAGGGGGAGAAGACTCAGCGGAGTGAGGGGAGACTGTTGGATTCACACACACATTATCTATTTCCTTTTTTTTGCCGGTGAGTGTCCCTCTGTCCCTTTCCTGCATCCGTCTGTGTGTTTCAAATCTATTTATACAAATGGTGACTTCAGAAATATGCCAGTGGTGTGGTTGACTTTCAGGGCGCTTGTTTTAGATGCAGCTGAGACAGAGGCGCGAGGATCAACACTTGTGTTTGCGCTCTGTGTGGTGCAGCGCTCGGAGAGAATGACTGACAGCAGACTAGCCTTTTGAACAGGACGTGATAGCGACAACACCTTCTGTCAATAATCTAAGCATAATTAATCCTAATTTGTAACCATTGTGCACCGAAACCATCACAAGACCACAGAACACACATTAAAATAATCATAATCTGAGGAAAACTCTAAAGAAGTGCTGAAAATTGAGAAGTTTTTTAAAGATAGTTCATATCTTAGAAAGATGCCATGGTGATTAAAGACAGTCACATTGTTGGCTGATGACACTCAGCGCCTGTCACATGAGCTCTGCCTTTGTGGGTGTGTTAATTAGGCCATTCACTTTCTGATTTATCTTTCGTGCGAACAAGGTAGCCCAGTCTCATATAGGCTATAGACCACAGGATGTGTTCTGTTTTTCAGGAAGTCAGAATTACTTCCCTTAACTACACATAGTAATGCAAATTACAGTTATATCTTTAAAGAAGTGTTAAAACTATAGAGTGTGTATGTGTAAAAGGCAGCAGGCAAACATGTATGTTAAGGGCCTCATCCTTACAGGGCAGGCTCTCCTAAATAATATCCATAGAGTATCTAGGTATGCAGTCGTGGCGTATGTGTCTCTGGATCTCTGCCACCACCTTACAAACGGTGTGAATGAACATACAGTGCTCAAAGCATTCAAATATTCAAGAGCGACTTGTTTTTCCAGAAACAATGTCTCTGTTAGTCGTGGATGATTTTCACTGCTTTCTACCAAATAATTAGCCCTTTTGGAATTTGTTTAGGTTTTATGTGGATTATCCAGAGTCACAGGGATATTGTTTCTAGAAAAAAAGATGTTGCTGCTGAATGCTTTTTAATACTTGTTTTAAATTTAGCATGTGGCACAAACCTCAGAGGCAGAATCTCAAAACTTTTACAGAAGAACTCGAAACTATCTGCATGGTTAGATAACACGGGGGTACGTTCAGGGATGGCATGTGAAGTTACGCCTGAGTCATGCATTGTGTCTTTTCAAATTCTGTTTGTAGTTTAGGGAACTAAAGTCTGCGGTTAGGTTTAGAGATCATGGTTTGGCTTTTAAAAAGTACAGCCGTTACTAATGTCACGTGATGTCATTAAACATACATCATGTGAGATCTGTCACTACTGCAGCACATTAGACATACTAGCACATCCATCCACTTTCATCCGCTTATCCGAAGCTGGGTCGTGGGGGGGCAGCAGGCCAAGCAAAGCACCCCAGATGTCCCTCTCCCCAGCAACCCTTTCCAGCTCCTCCTGGGGGACCCCAAGGCGTTCCCAGGCCAGATGAGCTATGTAACCCCTCCAGTGTGTTCTGGGTCTGCCCTGGGGCCTCCTACCAGTGGGACATGCCCGAAACACCTCTAACAGGAGGCGCCCAGGAGGCGTCCTGATCAGATGCCCGAACCACCTCAACTGACCCCTTTCAACACGAAGGAGCAGCGGCTCTACTCCGAGCTTCTTGCAGATGTCCGAACTCCTTACCCTATCTCTAAGGCTGAGCCCAACCACCCTACACTACATTGGTATTGAAATAAGTCCATTGACTTTTGATTTCACATGGGAAACATGTGACCACAGGGAACAGCAGGCTCCCAGGTGAAAGTCCAGAGTTTGTTTGACCCATAAACCACCACTCCCCCCCCCCCCCCCGCCCTATAGGAACTTTGTCGCTCTTCATACTATGTAGTTGCCAGAAATGTTTCAAACTGCCACAAAAGGTGCCTTTGTGTGTCGGTATGTCAGTTGGATGTCACAAAGCAGGGGTATTTGACGAGTTTGGTTCGACACGTGACACACAACATGTGATATTTGTCACTACTGTAGCAAACACCTACTAGCCCACTACATTGTTATTGAAGTAACTCCATTGACTTTTGAGTTCACATAAGAAACGAAGAGCAGGCTCCCAGGCAGAAGTTGGAGGTTGTTTGCTTGCTGTGTCAACACCTGCCGCCCTTCGGTGCACATCACACCACTGCAAAAGGTACCTCTGTGGACTGAGTGGCAGTATCTGATGAGGTGGGAGTGGGAACGGGCTGTTAGGGCATAAGTTTCGTCTCAGCACTGGGGGGACACATGAAACAGGGAGTCAGAAAATTTTAGCACCAAACACTTCATTTCCTGAGTTCATGGTGAATTTTTAGGCACTGATTTGTGCCTTTTCTGCAGACATTTTCTGCTGCCTATGTTTTTATTGTGGGAGGATGATTTAAGGATGTCCAGCTGTCTTGCTGCATGACATGTCCATTAATGCTAACACTCCCATATTTATATGTTACATATTTAGGCCACAGTCCAGCAGATGTGTATGCTTATCTCTAGGTTGGCCAGTATAAAGCCATTCCCTCCTTTTATATTGCCAATAAGCCTTTATAACCGCAGTTTGTTTTATGACTGTTTGTAAGTAAGGCTGTAAAGTCAGGTATGTGGCCCTGCCTGGAAAAGTGCGTTATATAACAATAACTGTAAGAATGAATTGACTGTAACAGTAATTGCCTCTGTGTAGAAGCAGGAGGCTGATGTGAACCAGAGGTGAGGCAGAGTTTCTCATTATCAAGGCAGAGAGAAAAGAGAGCCATTCTGAGCCAGTGACCCCATTAGGCACAGGCCATCCAATGATGTTTAAAAAGCTCCTGGGGTGCGGTGGGAGTCCCAGGCCCCGGGCCCATCATGATCCCCCCTCGCTTTTAGCCCAGGCTCGGCCGGAAGCAGGCTATTCTCGTCCCGCATTGTGCTGCCGAGGTATTCTAACGCTGTCCATTGTGTCCGAATGCTTTCCATGACTCTCAGCGGTTTCAGTGGGTCTGCACCTTAAACCCCTCCATTATGGACTGGCTTGCATTGCCACATTTGCTGTGTTGGCTTTTGTATTCAGTCAACCCCTCCCTTTCACCCCCACCCACTCTTGCACAGAACACAAGCGGGTGTAGCCAAGTTTAGATCCAACCACAAAGTATTTGCGGTCTAGTGTAGTTTCAGTCGTGCTGCTGCAGAAACACAGTATCAATTAGTGGGATACTTCGGCTCTTTTGAAGTGGGGTCGTATGAGGTACTTATCCATAGTCAGTGTATTACATACAGTGGATGTCAGTCGGCACGCCCCCAGTTTGGAGAGGCAGACAGGAGTCCTACCCAAAAGCTAAACAATGTACTGCTGTGGATGAGGGCATGTGTTTCTCTTCTTTCTTTGCACTTTGGATCAACTCTGTTTGTGTTTACAGTTACAGTTGACTCGACCTCGACGCATGTATGATGCTGAAAATATTAAGCTTTATGGACCTTGAACTAATGACTAAGGAGAAATCGGACCCCGCTGGACCAGTTGAAAACCATTGCCATAGACAGTGAATGGGAGCCTGATTTTGTGGACCCACAGAATGTTTGTTTTATTTTTTATACTCAACTGAGCTGTGTTCTATGGTAATGTTCTCATTTCTAAAACAGAAAGTGTAGCCATAAACTCAGAACATTCCCCTGGCTGCTCTTAGTGTCCTCTAGATCAGTTTTTTCCTATTAATATCAATGTAGCAGCTCCAGACTTTAAACCAGGGGTGTCAAATGTACGGCCTGTGGGCCAAAACTGGCCGAGCAAAGGGCCAAATCTGGCCCACTTGAGGACTCTGCACACTTTATATTGGTGCATTTGTATAGGCTAAGAGGTGCAAGGTTTCCACCAAACACTTCAGTATGGTACCTTTGGAACCAAAAGTAACCCTTCAGACATGGTACCTAGACCCTAGTGTTTCCACTGCAAACAGTACTCTTAAATATGGGCAGAGTTGTTGTCACTCACTGTATTTCCTCCTAACAGGTGACACAGAGGGAAGTCTGCACCTCGTTTATTGTCCACAGGACGAGGCTGAACACCGACATTTTAAGAATGCCAATAAGCAGCTCCAGTGGGCTACAAAAGAATCTGTATCTGACTTCAATCATAAAACAATATTATTGAAAACCTATTGATAAGCCTCTATGAAGCCTTTTGATTTGTAAGACAGGGATAACTTAACCTACTTCCTAACAGCTGCCACCTTAGCTTGGTGTGGTGATGGTAGCATTGCTGCACAGGAGTCGACATGTGTGGTAGATTGTAACGACCGTTAGTTGTTGACTGACTGAATGTAGAAAAACAGATAGATTGTTGAAACTGCACTTTTTTCTTGAAGGCTGCTCATCATTCTGTTTTATAAATGTGGTCCATGAACTAAAATGAGTTTGCCACCCCTGCTTTGAACCTTATGACATCACAAATTTGAGTTTTAGCACTCCAATATGTTTGGACTGTCTTGGACCACAGGAGCAACATGTATGGATTTTGAAAATGTTCCCTTTCCCACATCATGAGGTGATTAGTAGTTTAGGTTGGTGTCAGACAATCTATTTATGGTCATTACAAAATGTTACACGAGACTGCATGTCATCAAAAAAAATCCAGTTTGCAAAATCATTACAACATCATACTGAAACAGAAAAAACTCTTCTAAGTAACCCTAGAGGGCCCTGGCATAGGCTGATGTCGAGAAAATATGATTTTGCATTTTAACTTCCTCCTTTAAAAGCATCCATTGAAGTCTGTAACCACAGTGTGCTCTCTCTTCTCTCTACTTCAGGACGACGGCTTCATGGGTGAAAGATGAATCTCCAGCCGTTGGGCGACTGTGTGATTGACTCTGCTGCGATGGAGGACATTTCCCAGCACACCCAGTGACTCCCACCGCCACCTATGCCTCCTGCTGAATGTGGAAAGCCTAGGATGGAAGACCCACCAAGTGCTGCTCCGAGGCACTGGCACAACACTCTCGACCTCCACAACCTCAACCGTCTCCCCTCCACATCCAGCTGCTTCACCACCATCGCCAACCAGCCAGGGACCACCGCCACCGGGTGACAAGATTCCAGGATGTTTGTGAATTTCCGCCGGATACGAAAATGCCAGTGTGTGCAGCTGATGACCACCTGCCTGGTGCTGTCCGTGGTGATGGTTTGCTGGGAGCAGCTGGACAACAGCGTAGTCAACCACGTCAAGTCCTACTCCTACCGCTACCTGGTCAACCGCTTCACCTACATCAACAAGAGCCTCACCATCCCACGAGAGCAGGCCAGGAGTTTCAGCAACTTCCGCTACCTGCTGGACCACCCGGATAAGTGCGCCGGCAAAGACGTCCTCCTCCTCCTCTTTGTCAAAACATCCCCGGAGAACATTGAAAGGCGAAACGCCATCAGATCCACCTGGGGGAACGAGACCTACATCCAGAACGCCCTGGGAGTGACAGTCAAGGTGGTGTTCGCCTTAGGAGCACCACAGACCCAGAAGGAGGAGCTCTTAAGGAGCAGGAGGAGCGGGGCTGGTTTTCAGAAGCATCTCATCCAGGAGGACCGTCTCCATGGTGACTTGATCCAACAAGACTTTTTAGACTCCTTTCACAACCTGACCCTGAAACTGATCCTGCAGTTCCACTGGATGCACAGCCGCTGCGCACACGCCCGCTTCCTCATGACCGCTGATGACGACATCTTCATCCACATGCCCAACCTGGTCGCCTACCTGCAGGACATGAGCAGCAGGGGCGTCACAGACTTTTGGGTCGGTCGGGTGCACAGAGGGGCGCCGCCAATCCGCAGCAAAGACAGCAAGTACTATGTGTCCTTTGAGATGTACCCGTGGCTGTCGTACCCTGACTACACAGCCGGGGCCGGGTACGTCGTCTCCAGGGACGTGGCGGACAAAATCTACCAAGCCACGCTGACCCTGAATGCCTCTCTTTACATAGACGATGTGTTTATGGGCATCTGCGGCAATGCAGTTGGCGTGTCACCACAGGAGCACGTCTATTTCTCAGGCGAGGGCAAAGCACCCTACCACCTGTGCATCTATGACCAGATGATGACCTCACATGGTCACGTGGAGGATATTTATGACCTGTGGAAGAAGGCGACCCACCCGCAGGTGAAGCAGAAGACCTCTGGACTCACAGGGAGGCTGTACTGCACAGCTGTGAAAGTGGCTCTCCTTTGTAGACCGTACTATTTTAACACCTACCCATGCAAAGCAGCCTTTTTTTAGTATGACGAAAGGTGTGTGTGTGTGTGTGTGTCAGTGTGTGACAGAGAGCGAGGGAGTGTGTCGTAGGTCATAATGAAAGGAGGATCATCGCTGCGAATATTACCTCAGTCCTTTCAGTCGGACATCCATGTCAAAACACTGGAGTGTTTGTGTTCTGTGTTTTCAGAGGCAAAGAGACCAGACGATTCATGTTTGTCACTGTCAGTGTGACATCACCAACACGTCAATGAGAATCATTCAATCACACTGGCTTTGCACTGACAGCAGAATGTGTTCAGATAATGATGTTTACATGTTTCATCTCAAACCTTCTGTGCTCACAAACAGAATTTTAAATTATTAACTAATTTATTTCCAATCTCAGCCAGCGGATTACAAGACTACTTTCTGCTCTTCTTGGATTTTATTTCCACTGCTGTGAAACACAAAAGGGTTGCCAAAATTTTGTCACACTCAAAAATCAAGGTAACGTTTTCTTAACACACGGCCGCACCTCTTACTGGCACTTACTTTAAAATGTAGAAGTTCCACATCTGTGTGTTCCTGTGTGCTGTTTGAGCCGATGTAAGAAAAAAAAAATACACAGTATATACAGTGATGTGTCAGATCTAAAAATGTCTCCGTGTCATGAAGTGCAAAATTCCTCACAGTGACGTAGAGTAGACGTGTAAATGAAAAGACTTTACAGACAGTTCCTGTGCTGAAAATCACAATGATGTACCGATGAGCAAAGTGTGCGCTCTAAATTGAATATTTTCTTGTCATAAGATTTTATTTCTTTTTGTAATTCAATTTGTGAACATGTTTTTTAATGAAATAAAATCTCCAAAGTGAAAGTTTTTTTTTTTTTTTAAATTTATTGCCAGTAGTGGCATCAATAATGTCAGTTTGCTGGCCAGGTTAAACCATCAGCACCAACTTCATTACTTTGAGTTAAAACTACAACATAAACTATATTCTCAAAATATTTTTTAACCACAGGATGACCACAAGACTTTAGGAAGTGACTGTGCCTGACACATAACGCCCCCTGCAATACTACAACTTCTTGTTTTCACACTTACTTTTGCTAATCTAATGTCTGTACTGCCAGCTGATTAGCTTATCTTAGCACACAGACCGGAAACAGGCTGACACAGCTACCCTGAGTCTGTCCTAAGGTGACTAAATCTGCCCACCAGCACATCTGTAGCTCTTTCATTAACATGTCATGTCTCATTTGTTAAATCTGTACAAAAAAACAAAGCGTAGAAACAACACATTATGGATTTTCAGACTTTTTATATACTTACTTCAAAGTGAATATTTCCAAATAATGTCAAACTATGTTCCTTTAATTTGGATATTTTTTCCAATTTTGAAGTCATTACTTCAAGGTCACACAGTTTAATATATTCAGCATCATACTTGCCTTTGGCCATGTCGTCAAGCTACTTCCGTGTCTCTGTTAAGTAGCTGTCTGTCTGTGTCGGCACTTCAAAATAAAAGCTCTGTGCCAGGAATTCACTGTACTTCGGAAAATAAAGTGTGTTTTTTTACAAACTTGACATGTTTGCATATCACTTGTGGTCCATTCAGAATGGACCTGCTACCCACTTTTGGACTTCAACCCACCAGTTGGGAACCACCGGTGTATGGAGCAGCTCCAGACTTCATACTTGATATCTTCACAAGTTGGAGACACTTCTCTAAGTTTCTGGCTTCTACAGGGAGTCGCTCATGCTCACAGATATAGATTGAACTTTCCTCAGCCATGGACATATTGGAACTCTTAATTTAATCAAGTCGAGTCAACTCGATCCAAGTTGGAGTTGATCCAAAGTGCTCTCACAGCACGCACAAAGAAAAGCAAAAACAAAAGAAAGAAGCCACTGTTCTTCTTCTCTGACTTAGCTGCTAACTGCTACAAGCCGCTTTTTTAAATCTCCCAGCGGTGGGTTGCGCACATCACACAAAATGACACCCGTCTCGCCCATGTTCCCATCCTGCTGGCTTTCTCTTTTACACAAACGCCGTTTTTGGTGCTGTTAAAGTCGAGACACATCTGTACCCCCATTCTGTGATCGTACCTTTTATACGGAACGATAAGGCGGCGTAATGGCGCAACATTCCCATCTTATGATGATAATGATGACGATATGATTCATATGAAATGTGCAAATGTAACGCATTCGTGGTTTGCAGAAATGTCAGCATTTTCTTCTGGTGACTCTGCTGTTGTGAATCATAACTGCTTATCCAGAATGTCTTTAACTAACAAGTCAAGATAAATAAGTATCTAAAGCTGTCGTCTAAAGTACTTTCTCAATCACATGAATAAAAACCAGTGTGTATAATTCTACATCCTTCATGAAGATATAGTGCATTTCCCTATAAGACCTGTAAAAATAACCGTTTACAGCACTGACGTCTGACCCAGAGAGAGCACGTGTTCACAGTCACACTCGAAGCCTGCTTACACTTTGACCACATTTGCTATTCTGCCATCACTAAACCACAATGGTACTTAAAGGACGTGCATTCAAAGCAGTGCTCTGAAACCCTGTGTGCAAGATGCCAATTACTGCACCACACAAAGAATAAATGTTTGCCCTTCCTCTCCATAGCAACAGTTTGCTGAGCAGCGGCACACATGGAGCTGCTGCACAAACCTCATTAACGTGCAAGTGCAAACATCTTCCATGAAAGTAGTCTACACTTTACCACCCGATCACATCTTCATAAGTGAAGGAATGGACTTTGCCTGACCGTGTCAGCTGGGACACTGCTATGATTTGGATTTTTTTTTCCCCAGCTGGCATGTGATACTTGGAGCCAAAAATACCTCTGGCATCGGCCAGAAAGTCATCGCAGTCCTCAGGGGTGTCTGGTCCATGGAGGCATCTGGTACACTGCTAACAGTAATAACTGGCTGGTCCTGTGTCAGTGCTCAACATGCACCAGATAAATGTCATAAACCGTCACACAAACAAAGCTGAGCGGTCGTTTTTCAGTTATGTGGCTGATTAAATCAAAACTGGATTTCAAACTAAGCCAAGATTCACACTCACACCTTTCATCTGATTCATTCCTTACAGTGCTTTATATCCATTATCATCTGCAACAGTCAGGTTTCCTCTCTGAGAGTATTGAATTTGATCAAATCTCACCTCAGCAAATACCCACCTTTCTTTTAATATCACCACGTAAATGTCTCCGTGTCTTCCAGGCAAAGGTCATGGAAATGTCGCCCTCCACTCACCTCGACTTACAGCGTATTGTCCATATGTTTATTTATGGCACTTCATCCTGAAATGGGATGTTGCCTGGATTAGCTGTTCTCCAAACAGCTGCTCTGTTTCCATGGCAACGCATTAAGAAGAATAATTCACACAAAGGATTTAGACAGGCCTAAAAACACAAGCCGCTGCCTACATCTGTACTAAACCGCTGTAACTGACTGTGGGTCGGTATTATTGTCATTATTATTATTAGTATATCGACACAAACATGGTATTCATCTAAATGTGATGATGATGATGTCATGTCATGTGTGTGAGCTCCTTAGTCTAATTTCCCTCTGACATAGGTTTGTTATTTTTAGATTCACTAGAAGTGATCATTACTGAGAATCAGCCGCACAGCTTAAGTCACTTCTTAAGAGGATGCCTTGCAAAACAGTTGTGTTGACAAGCATCATGTAATTGCAGATTGTCATGGTCAGTGCACCAGCTGAGTCCCATGGGCCAGCTATAACTACGCCTTATTAAAAAGAGACCTTAAAGAGAGAGTCTGTCTCGGAACTGGACGTTTGCACAATTTATCCGGACAGGTACAAAACTTATACACAAAATAGGTCAATGTCAGTGGCTTAAAAAGGCCGTAAAAATTAGTTTGACATCATTTTTATTAGGCGTTAGATGAGAAGAGTCTGTCATGTCTGTGTGCTAAATATGAAGCTACATGGTAAGCAAGTTAAGATTAAACAGACTGTTGGAATCGTATCATTTCCCCACGTCCTACTCCCCAGTCTCACAGTTAAGTGTGATGGCGTTTCAGCAGTGCAGCCAGCTCATGACGCAACATGACAAATATGTCGCTTGTATGTGTTCATCCTCAAAGAGATACATACTGGTCAGATATTTTGCAATTTGTGCCCTAACTTCTCTTCTTTGTGATGTTGATCAAGACTTGAAATGCGGAGGAAAAAGACAAAAATGTCATTCCTGTGTACCTTGCAAAGTTTTACAAAGGTCACAGGGTGCTGAGATCATTTATAGGAAATGTGAACTCCCTCTTTATTTGAGCGCACTGAGAGGGAACTGTTGCATATTTCACTGCAGACTAGTGGTTCTCAACCAGATGTCCATAATAGCAAACCACAGCTGAGGAGAAGTGAAACTTATGAGCAGAGTCGTCACTCTTATGACTGATGCTCACACTGGATTCATTTCCATAGCGAATCAATGTTTTTTTCAACAAAAAGTATGAGATCATTTATTTTTCATGAATGACTATAACCACGACCCTTCAGAAGCACATGCCCCGTGCACAGTGCTGTCAGTCCTCATAACCTGGTGCAGGTGATGGCAGGAAATATCAGATTGATATATGTTCACATTAAAAACTGATAAAAGATGCAGCTGATTTGCATTTTTTTTTTTAGCAAAGCTAAAAGCTAGTCACCTCAACTGACCCCTTTCCACACAAAGGAGCAGAGGCTCTATTCCGAGCTCCTTTCCCTATCTCTAAGGCTGAGCCCAGCCACCCCACACAGGAAACTCATTTCAGCCGCTTGTATCTGCAGTCTCATTCTGTCAGTCACCACCCAGAACTCTTGAGCATAGGTGAGGGGTGGGACGTAGATGGACCAGTAAATCGAAGCTTTGCAGCTTGTTCAGGTGCAAAATCTTGCACTTGGGCCCGACCTGATGACCATACGCCACTGCATGGAGGCATAAAAGTCCAATTTAGAAATCATATTTAGTATCAGGAAAGCAGAATGAGGAAAATATCCTAATGTTTGTGTATAGAAAGAAGTCTGAATGGGCTGGTTGTGTGGTGGTTGGGTCACTCTTGTTGAGAGTACACAGCAGCACGTCAGACAGATATTCTCTTAAGCAACACTTTACTGTTCTCCATACTTCAGCAGCTTCACAACAAACCCCACTTCCTTGTTAAGGGTCACATGGCTCTTAATTAACCAGTGAGAAGCTAGTAAGACTTAACACTTAAGTAAATGTGTGATTACTGAGGACGACACAACAAATTGTTTTTAACAATGCTGCTGCAAATATTTTACTATGTAAATAACTGAACATAAGTGTAAATAATTAAGAGCAAATCACTAAAACACATGAATTAATTTTACTTGTAAACCTTACATGCATCATTTGTCTCTGCAGTTTCAGTATTCCCCAGTACATTTAAAATCTGACCGAGTATTGTGGGGTATGGTGTCACACTGCTGCCTGCCAGTAGGTGGTGCTGTTACAGTTCTTCCATATCTGTGATTAAGGGATGTGTAGGTGGCATTTCTATACCAATTACTCTAAGAATGCACCATCACCATCCATCTTTAACCTGCAGGTTCCCTCTAGTGTTCAAATACCACAACAACTCACACTGCACACTTTGACACCAGCACTCCAGACACAGCGAGTTTACTTACAGCAATTTCAGTTTATTAAGACATTCATACAATTCTAGGGAGGAGGAAATCTGAAAAGTAGTCAAGGGGGGGTAAATAGCAATATACTCTGGGAAGGGTAAAACCACATGTCAGCAAAACATGGCCAACCAGTGAGGAATTCTGATAGAGCAAGTGGGATTAAAAAGAAAAAAAAAAAAAAAAAGATATGGTATATTTAAATTAACACATTCACAAAAGATAATAAAAAGCAAGTGAAATCTACAGTAAAACATGACAAGTGCCTCTATTAAGCAGTCCCACAATACATCGCACATATGTTAGCATAACATAATTTGCAGACTTTATACAGCACTTATACCTTTTAGTCCACAAGTAAGTTACTAAATGGTGGAGAACATCGAATACACACATCTTAATTGAACATGGAAAGAAATACCTGATAAGAACCTTTAAGTTTACAGAACCCATGGCTTTGTAGCTCCAACCAGCCGTCTGTCGAGGTTAGAATCTACAACTGTCCAAGAGGGACCACCATAGAAGTCACCTCGCTTTTAACACATACCAAAATTCAGATCCAAGGTTTAGCATTGAGAAGTTTTTTTTCCCCCTCGAATAATATAAGCACAATGCAAGTGGACGATCGCTATCACTGCGTTTAAAAAAATAATAATCTCAGGGCTCAAATCAGGTCGGCCACATTCATAGGCATCTCCTCCACGGTAGTATTGTAAAACGTCTCGATATCCCGAAGAATCCTCTTGTCCTCCTCAGTGACAAAGTTGATAGCAACTCCTTTTCTGCCAAAACGACCACCACGGCCGATTCTGGAAGGGGGGAAGAGATGGCCTGCCGTGAGACTCACAGGCAA